GCATAAGAGGATATGACTGACTGAGTTTGGTTTTACGCCGCTTTTAGCAATATTCCAGCAACATCATGGCGGGGAACACCAGAAATGGGCTTCACACATTGTACCCATGTGGGATTTGAACCCGGGTCTTGGCTTGACGTGACGAGCCAACGCTTTAACCACTAGGCTACCCCACAGCCCCAAAGAGGATATGAGGAGAGAAGGGATGAAGGCATATTAGGTAAGGTATAAGGAAGGGATCAGAGGATATGAGGAAGTTACGAGAGGATATGAGGAGAGAAAATGCGAAAGTTATGAGGGAATATGAGGTGAGGATATGAGGAGGTTATGATGGGACAAGAGAAGATATGAGGAAGGGATCAGGGATATAAGGAAGGGATAAGGGGATATGAGGAAAGGATCAGGGGATATATGAAAGGGATTAGGGGATAAATGGAAAGGGATAAGGGGATATGAGGAAGGGATTAGGGTATATATGGAAGGGATTAGGGGATAAATGGAAGGGATTAGAGGATAAATGGAAGGGATAAGGGATATGAAGAAGAGATAAGGGATATGAGGAAGAGATAAGGGGATATGAAGAAGGGATCATGGGATATGAGGAAGGGATCAAGGGATATGAGGAAGGGATAAAGGGATATGAGGAAGGGATAAGGGGATATGAGGAAGGGATAATGGGATATGAGGAAGAGGTCAGGGGATATGAGGAAGGGAATAGGGGATATGAGGGAGAGGTCAGGGAATAAGAGGAAGAAATTTGGGATAATGATGAAGGAACACATCCCATGATACATCTGTTGCTAAATATGGTTTCTCACAATTTGGGGAGATTTTTGTTCCTGTTTTCTTTATAAATATTGGTGGTATTTTCAAACTCTAGTGAGCTAGAAACATAAGAAAGTACACACTTTAAAAACAATAAGAACCCAGGGTGGCGGCAGCAGTCTTCTTCTTACATACTTTTAGATATTTAGAGTATTAGTTTTGACAGGCAAAAAGGGCAAAATAAGTCACTAAAGCTGGCTGAGACTTCCAGTCAATGTGAACAGGGCCCTGTATACATCAATGGGAACCATATGTCCCATCTGGCATACTGGGCACATTCACAAGGATTGATTTTCTCTCCAGTCACCTTGCCTTATTGATAATATTATCGTTTGTGGTGGACACAGGACTTTGAAGTTAGGGAGTAAGATACCTGAAGTAGGTCAAAGACCATGCTGACTAAAATCCAATCTCTCTGAGATTTTTTTAACACTTATCAAATATGTAAATTTATGATTGTCGTGGTGATGCTAGGTCTTATTTTTTCAGCTTTCTTACAACATAACAAGGAGCTTAAAACCAACATGTGCTTCTGTTAACAGCTGGATGTACAGACCAATTGGGATGAGCAAGTTCAGTATAGGACCCCACTCTTCCATTGAATCACCAAGGCTCTGAAGAATGGATTATACTCATGATTCTCATGTCACCTTTATGTTTGTTCATAACTGATGGTCCTTATTGCGCAGATCGATGATCTGCACTGTTGATCACTGGATTGTCTGGTCCAGACTCGATTATTTACAGACCGCCGTCATATAGCTGGAATATTGCTGAGTGCAGCGTAAAACTAAACTCACTCACTCATAATTGATGGTGGAACATATCTCAATTTATATAATGTTTTAAACAATGATGTAAAGATGTTATTTTACTGTCATTATAAATGTGAATCTTGATCAGTTCTTCATCATTGTTTCTTTAAATCTTTACCTGAACCATAAAAATAATCACCGGAGATGTCTCCCAATAATGATCTACCCTGTACACTGTGTTTATTACTTTAAAAATGTCATTAAGATGCAACTGAAATTCTTAGAAACATCTCAAAGCTTGATTTGGTAGGTGATAAAAAGAAACATTTTAAATTTTTTTTAAATATCTATTTTAGTCACACAAAAAATGACTTTAGGTAATTTTACTGTCAATGTTATTTAAAGACCTTGTAATTTTGATTATTAATTTTTTTCTTGAGTTTCAATTTTGTTTGCTCAATTGATCTAAAAGCAAACTGACTGACTGACTGACTGAGTTTGGTTTTACGCCGGTTTTAGCAATATTCCAGCAACATCATGGCGGGGGACACCAGATATGGGCTTCACACATTGTACCCATGTGGGGATTCGAACCCGGGTCTTCGGCGTGACGAGCCAACGCTTTAACCATTAGGCTACCCCACTGCCCCCTACAAGCAAACAAAATAATGTAACCGCTCAATTCGTTAAGCCATCTTTTGAGATATTTTTTGGTACAACAGAACCTTTGCTGGGTTTGAACAAATCAGCTTCAAAACTATGTAGTCATAAAACTGTCCAAAAATTCCCTTAAATAGATTCTGCACGATTCCAACATGGACCTTTAAAGGGGAAGTGTACACGATAAAATCACATTTATTCTTATGTGAACCAAAGTGAAATATTTTAATTATTTAATATCACTGTTTGAGATGATACACTCATTTTTCTTACAATGACAGTAAAACCCTCAAAATAAGTGCTGAAATGTTATGCCATTATGCGGCCCTAAATGCCGAGCTAAACAGGTCAGAGTTACCGCCCTTTGATTATGACGTAATTGGTGCCACTTGATTTTAGACTGGTCTCCTGTCTAGTCCCAAATCAAAAAATAATAATACTGAAATTAATCACGTGAGAAAAGTTTGTGAAAATAATGAAAAGAAGCATAAGAACTGAAAATGTAATCAGCAGGACAGAATGATAATGTGTATTTTCATTCATAGCCCTCACCTCAATGAAAATACTAAATATGTTTAACAATGTTGACGCATCGTGATGACATCACTATCGGGAAGTGACACTCTCAAAATGGCGGTACACGAAAGTACATCGGATTTTTCGACGGAAAATTTCGTTGTTTCAAGCAACGATATACATAAATGTGACATGTAAGTAGTCCCAAACATTCTGACAATCTGCTGGTTGTTATTTTCCTTTTTGTTTTCATTGTGACCAGGGGTGGAGAATTTCTATCGTGGTGTTCGTGAGTTTCATAGTCAATCATGGCGCCACGCTTTCAGAAACTACAATATGTTGTGATGAATCTCGGAAATCATTGGAATACACCTATTTTGTATAACTACCGCTTGCTACTATACCATTCCGTGCATGGTATAAAACTAATGAGCAAGTGTATGAAACAAAAGTAGGCTTAACAGATACACAGTGTAAAAATCTGAGATTGACTTTGTTTACATTTCAGACAAGTGGTCCTTTCCCAGCCGCATCTGATTTATTTCGCTTAGATTTCACTGAAACACTTGGTATTGGTTACAAAGACCATTTGTCATTATATTTTGAACTGTATGTGGAATTCTGGGATTAGTGTAAGTGCACGTGTGACGCTATTTTATAAACACTCTGCAATATGGCTGAAAATTCACTTTGACGTTAACTGTGCGTATTTTCAAAAACATTCTCAGCGCATTCTCTAGCTGTTGTATCGACAATGTTTCGAACGAGCATTGGTGATGCGATCAAAAAATTTTTAAAAATACCGCTGATCACAATGATAACGGGTTCTTGGGTGGGATTTTTTTTGTCTCTTTAATTCAATTCTCCCAGCAAAATTTGACATTTGAATTATGACATCAATACTATAAAATACTTAAAACACAGTGAATGGGGATTTCGTGAATCTGTCCAAATTGGCCAGATTTACGATGCATGTAATTTTCAGTATACATGTATTTGCCTTACAATGGGCGCCATAGAAATGGTATCATAGAAAACGAATTTCAAACAGAATTAACAACTGCCACTTTCATTTATCTTCGTGATGTATTTGGATAATTGTGGTATCGATAGGTAGGAAGAGTGGATATATGCAGGAATTAAGTAACAAACGTAGAATGCCGACACATTCACCGATGGCAAGCTAGGTGTAGTGCATAAACGCTTTAGTTTTTGTGAAAAACGATACTGTTGAATGACTACCGACTCAGGTTGAATGTTGTAGTATTTTGTTACGTGGTAACACTGTTTGGTACAATGTATACGCTTTTTGTATACAACTTCAACGTCATCACACTGTGCAACTGATCACATAGCCAGCTGACGGCCAGCTGGATTAAAACAGTAGCCTGCGCGATCGAGACACTAGAACCACACCTATATCTTCGCCACGTGAAATGTGTCTAACAACGCCATTAGTTTATCGGTTTGGCACCAATGACGCCATTTCCAAGGACGTAAGCCATGGTGTGTTTACTGTGGCCATAGAACACTCGGTAAATGTGAAATGAACATTCAAAAATAAACTAGGGTACATAAAACTTTGACAAACACGATGATGAGAAATTGCAAGACAAAAAGGTAATTTTCGTGTAACGCCCTTTAGAACATTCATGAAGAACGTAGGATGAGGGTAAGCAGAGATGATTGTCAGGCATTCTGAACCAAGGACTCTATCAAACGCTGCACGTACGGTTCTTGTCCCTTCTCACAACCAACAATCTGCATAACAAACACATGTATCCTTTGATAAACCTTAAAAGTGAAATACTATGTATAAGTTGTCAAACAAGTATGACTGATATAATAAGCATGTTTTCAAAATCGATCCACGACCCTTTGAGTATAAATATTCTGACAAACTCATCAAAGCCCTCGTTGATTAGCCTGAGAGGAAAAATAAACGACAACTGTGCTCCCAGAATTATTTTAACACTAGCTTTTAATTTTTCCGTGTCACGGTGAGATTGTTGACAGTTACATCATTAAACTGCGCCAACTCGCAAATTGATCGCGAGTCTATTATTACACGGTGCAAGCATCAGAACAGTGTGTCCATTGAACTGCAACTTTTAGACACAGGCAAAGAAGTAACGGCTGCACGCATGTCGTTTTTGGTCGTAATATTTGTCGTTTCAATGTAACAACCCGAACATCTGCATTGACAAAATATGTCATTACATGAAGTTAAGAGGAAGTATTTACCTCGATATCAGGAATATCCCTGCTTAGTGATGAGCTCGCCATGTTGTTTGCGATTCTCAGCCTTGGTCACCTTTGACCCAAGTCGCCCTCTGACCCACTTTCCCCAGTCACGAAACTAGCCAGCGATGCCAGTGGAAATGTTTCTGTTTGCAAACTGTTAGCACTTGCTTGTTGAAATAATGCTGAGTGCAGAAATATTTATACTGTTACAAAGGCTAAATGCATTATCAAAATAGTGCAAACAATTCAATAAGGACCTCATGTGTCAATGCTTGTTCATGTTTTGCATTCAATATGGGGAAATAACAGGAAATGCGAATGTTTTACATAATACATTATAACAATAACTTGTTTTAGTTTTAAAAAAAGTCAAAAAAATCTTCCGGTTGAATTTAAAACTTGCGTCTTGTTTAAAGCGAACGGTTTCAAGACAAAACGTTCTATCTCCTGGACAAATGAGTATGTTGAAATATTTGTATACGGCCCGATATCCTACTGATAAGAAATCAATTTGATACACTATCATATACGACAAAATCAACTCAAGTGTTTGTCATGCTGAGTGAGTGAGTGGGTGAAGTTTAACGCCGCTTAAAGAGTATTACAAGTCGGGTCAGCTTAATGTCGGAGGAATGGCCGGCAGGGGGTCGAAACAGCAGCCTTCCGCTCTCCGGACAGATGTTATATCCTCTGACATAAATACGTAGCTATCAAAATATTAATAAATCAATGAAAAACAAACACGTGTAGGATAAATTGGTAAATATATGTATTTAGTTAAATGTTATGTGTTCCTGAGGTCCACAGAATCACAGAAGCGATCGTTCATTCAGCGAGCCTGACTAACGGAATCGGGTGGTCAGGCTCGCTGACTTGGTGGACACATGTCACCGTATCCCAATTGCGTAGATCGATGCTCATGTTGTTGATCACTGGATTGTCTGGTCCAGACTCAATTATTTACAGACCGCTGCCATATAGCTGGAATATTGCTGAGTGCGGCGTTAAACAACAAACCAACCAGTCATTATAGAACATCTACATCGTGTCACAGACGTTTGGGAATTGGGTTTATTTGCAAATGTGCTTTCTTCTGTTGTTTGACTGTTTGCTAAGTTGTTCGTAGCCAAGCATTGTGACGAATACCAGTCTTGTAAATTTCGTCATCCATTGTTCATGACGCCATCGATGGTTGTGACGTCAATTGACCAATGTTGTTGGTACATCGTCTGTATTTTTCTTGCATATTTGTAAGTGAGTCCGCCGTCAAATCGTCAGAATGTAGTTTGCAGGTTTTTTAGCGTATTTGTTATTAACCTGTGATTGATTTCATACACACGTGAGTATCGAGTCAAGCTGGAACGTTGTTTTGGAGTTTTGTTTGTTTGTTTTTAACGCCGCAGGAAGCACCGTCCTAGCTATTAGTCTGTAAATAATTCTGAACAGACAATCCAGTGACTGACGTCATGAGCATCGATCTGTACAACTGGGATACAGTAACTCGCTTCAAGCAAGCCATCGAACCTGTCCACCAGATATGCCATTGCTCGTATTTTACGACAAGCATTGATTGCTGAAGGGCAATTCTAAAACAATTCACTCTAAAACAATGAGGTTCTGATGGTCTTTTCTAACCCGACTCCCAACACTGATGATACGCCAAGCTAAAGGACTTACGCATAGTAATAACAAAATTAGATAGAATAATGTGTGTGTTTAATTCTTTATCTTTATTTTTTATATTGACCAAGAAAGCATATGTTGAGAAAGCACTTGTTTCCTCGGAAATCCACATAGTAAAAGTAGACAAAATTAAAGTTGCGATTGCCTTGTTATTTCAAATATTTGCACAGCAATTTGTATATCCCCAATTAGTCGTTACATCCGAAAAGCCACTCGTATTGTTGATCACTGGATTGTCTGCTCCAGACTCAATCATTTATAGACCGCTCTCATATAGTTGGAATGTTGCTGTATTTACAAAAGCCAAACAAACCGAAAAGCAAATGTTCGTAGTTTTGACTGGAACGAGACCCGTGAGTCGGAGTTATTTTACGAGCGCTTCAGGTAGATGTGTGACACATTTTATTTAGGGAGAACTTCTTTTTTTAATTCTTTGTACGACGTTTCAAAGCTAATCTTTGCTCATTCATCAGGTGTAAATACACGTTTGTGAAAATAAAATCGAAAAAGTGAAATCATTTATATGAGGATGGTATAAATGTCTATTTCTGCTTATCAGTTACAAATCCTTGAATTGAAGTATGATTACATGTTTCACAATATAGGACAAACAGCACCGTTTTGCAGACAATGTGCATTTAAGTACTGACGCGTCATATTTTATTTCATAATTTGTAACAATAATTTGTGTCCTGACCAAGACCGTTAAAGATGGACTATGCAGACTGTGGACTTTGTAACTAAGGCCAAACCAATCTTATTTCTTGTTTTACGGATCCGCCTGTCGTATTTTTTCAAGAATAAGAAAAAAATACAAATTAATTTTCCCCACTCAAACAATAAAATCCTAGTGTTTATATTGTCCAAAAATGTAAACTTACAAGAATTATTTTTGTAGATTGTTTTTTCCCCCATATACACTTCATAAATTGCCAAAAGTAAAATACTTTGAGTACTGAGAAGGAATATTACTTTGACTGGTAATTTTTAACAAAAAGTTCCCTCCTGCCTTTAGGTTTTCTGAAGACAGAAATCCGTAAAACAAGAAATTAAATTGGTCTGGCCTAATTTAACATAAAAAGAGGAAGAAAGTAACTCAAGAATGCAGCTCTAAGCGAGGATGCTTGATTGTTGCACGATATCGACTGGATTCTCAGAGGACCTCCAAGAGATGAGTGAAGAGCGCTATCATCACTAACGACGGCCGAAGACTGAAAGGGGATATCACCACATGCATGTAAACTAACGCCTAGTGTGTAAATATATATATAATGTTAATAGCAACAAACAAACCCATTTAAATTGAAAAGGAACCCCTGAGATTAGACTAATGCTTAGTCTCTGAATATATACTCTCCCCAAAAAGAAACGCATAATAAAAATAGCAATTTCATGTAGCAATGAATTAAAACGTGATTCATTTTACAAAAGGTTTTGCTCTGTTTATGAGTCCTATGGTGTTTATGTTTTGAAACATCACAACAAAACGCACCATCCGTAAAATACCCGTATTTTTACAGCATGGTTTTCAATTTCGGCGTGTAGTGTCACAGAATACACAATTCACATGCAATGCACGTGAAAGTTGGGGATCAGATAGTCTCAATGATGGGTATAAAGGTTGATCGCTGTCTGTCGATTATTCACTGTATTTGGAATATTGTTGACGAACGCAAAATGCCACGTCTAAGTGAAGCCAACCGTCATATCGGCTTTGGTTTGCTTGAAGCTGGCCAGTCTCAACGTGCAGTTGCCCGACGCATGAATGTTCACCAAAGCACCATTTCACGGCTCTGGGAGAGATATCGCCGGCAGAATTCGGTAGCAGATGCCCCTCGTAGTGGGCGACCTCGAGCGACCACTGCGGCGCAGGATCGCTACATCCGGGTACATCACCTGCGTCATCGAACAGCTACGGCGACCAGTACCGCTCGACAAATACCCGGATTGAGGAGGCTTTCTGCACAGACCGTCAGGAACAGGTTGAGAGAGGCTGGTTTACGTGCCAGAAGACCTTATTTTGGCCCTGTGCTTCGACAACAACATCGTCGACATCGAGTTCAATGGTGCACCAACGTTCAGGCCTGGAACCTACCGAATTGGCATAGAATCTGGTTCAGTGATAAATCACGATTTCTATTGGAACGACGCGATGGAAGAATGCGGGTGTACAGACGTCGATGTGAACGTTTCGCCGACGCTTGTGTTCCCCAGGTGGACAGATTCGACCGGGACAGTGTTATGATGTGGGGAGCGATCACCTGCCGTAGGAGAAGTGATTTGGTGATGATCCAGGGCAACCTGACAGCTCAACGGTACTGTGACGAAATCCTGCGCCCTCACCTCCTTCCAATCATTGATCGCCAGAGGGAGTTGTTTCAACAGGACAATGCTAGGCCCCACACAGCACGTCACACAAGAGCCTTCCTCCAGAACCACAACAGCAATGTGCTCCCCTGGCCCTCAGGATCACCGGACTTAAACCCGATCGAACATCTGTGGGATGCCCTGGACAGACGGGTGCGACGCCGTAACCCTCAGCCCCAGACATTTAAGCAACTCGCACAGGCACTACAGGCAGAGTGGGCTGCGATTAGGCAACACGAGATTTTGAGACTTATTCGTTCGATGCCGAGGCGATGCCGTGCAGTTCTGGATGCCCACGATGGTCACACGAGGTATTGACTTAAGCGCCATCACACGTCTCCGTGTGACACTCAAACTGACTTTCCTCGAGTTGGTGCCAAAGACGGATAAGTCTGCATTCACAGTGTGCAATTTCACTATATTTCATTGACTCATAAAGCCTACAAGATGTTTCAAAATAAACATTAAAAACCAGTTGAAATTTCTATATGCGTTTCTTTTTGGGGAGAGTATATATACGGATATAACGGCAAACCAAAAGCTTTGGAAAATTATAACAAAGTCGACCCTTTCAATGGATGGTTACCGTCATGATAAGATAGAACGATAGCCAGACAGGCAACAGAAAGTTTCCAGTTGGCGCCAGAATGGAGGGAATCGAGGGGACTCATTGCTCTGAGTTTGAAAAGCTAACAAACGCCCTGGGAATTAATCAAGTGGATTCTGGCAATACAAGATAAACACCAAGACAACGTCTGATAAAACCTTTAACCAATCACATTGAAGTATTAAGACATGTGATCCAATTCAGGACAGACACAATCCCTGTATAAAGATATCTTTAATACTAGCAGAAGACTGAGGGTTTTTTACGTGATTGAGCCCAATCACCGTCACTATCTTTCTCCATCTGGCACGAGCCTACCTGGGTTCAGATCCACAAAGCATTCGTAACGTTACGACCTATCGTAACTCCATAGTTCACCATAGGCATACGAATGTCGTAGTGCTACGGACGCTTTGTGGATCGAGACCCTGTTTTGGATTGAAGTTTGAG